TTGGCAAAGGCACGAAAGCCAGAACAACCAGCAAAAAGCAAAAGGGCCAAAATTTAGACTCCTTCCCTTCTCGTGCAGGTCTGTTGAGCTGACACGGATCTTCACAGCGAGCGCCAACAGCAGGGGCAACCAGCAGTACAGGAATGTAGTACGCCGAGGTGCGAAACTGTCCAAAGTTTGCATGTTGGGCCGGATGTTGCAGGGCACAAGCATACGTCATGCACCAGCAGCTTTTCGGTCTGCAATTCCAGGGAGCGCCTTGGGTTCAAGAGCAAACGGATGAAGATGTGATGACAATCATCGGCTCCGTGCATGACTACCATCGACTGAGCAATGCGCCGTGAGCAGGGCCTCTGCAATCTTTCTCAACCTCACTTTCCGGGTCTCTCTCTCTCTCTCTCTCTCCCCTGTTCGCTCTCGTTCTTTCCCGCGGCCTCTTTCTTGCAGAATCACATCCCACTCGAAGAGTGCGGTGGATACGCGTGCAGTCGGTCATACTGCAAGAGCATGAACATGCGACGGCAAAGTTGGTCGAGCATTGGTGTTTGCATCAGAGGCTGCAGAGAAAGAAGTTACAGAGTATGGCTGTCACGTGGTATGGGCAAGAACTAGTTGCTTCCCCGCAACCGGATATGTGTGCACAGCAACAGAGCCTGTAGATGACTGGGATTGCTGAAGCATCACGGGCGCGGCCGTTGTTCGAGACACGATGCTTGAAGTCAGAAGTGCTAGGAGTGTTCTGAACGATCATGGAATGTCCTCGCTGCCGCATGCCACTTTTCCTCAAAGCACAATGGCGGTCAATAGCGAAGCGCAAAACGACAGCCTTCGCCAGTCGCAATGGTGAACTCAAAGCGGCGGCTGCCGTTGTTGGCGTTCTTATCTGCCTTCGTTTGGTTTCCATCCCAGGCTACCGAAGGATGCACACGGAACTTCAGCGCAGCTGATGCAGCTGCTAGACTGACACGAGACCAGCTGGAGTGTTTCTGAGGCTGGGAAGCCTGCCTGCATCCAGCTTTGTGCCCCAACTACCAGGACCAGTGCTTTTTGATGTCCTGGAAAGTTTCATCAGCTCACGGCGCGTAGTTTTTAGCTGGCTTCTGTGACAGGTGCAACAACCATTCCGAATCATTCCGACATGCCTGTAGTTTGTACCGTTTTGGGAATGTCGTTACGACTGCCCTGCCAGCAGAAACTTCCCGCCAGGCCTGGCCCCCTCCCGGCCCTTCCCGGTCCCCCTCCCACACCACGGCTGAAGACTCTTGGACTTCCTGGAGTTCCGTGAGGATCAAACGACCAAGTTCTGCACAGCGTGCATGCTTTCATCATGTTGATCAGCTGGTTAAAAGATTAAATGTTGCAACTTCAAACAGGACAACACTCCGAGTAGATCCTGCTTGATCAAGGGGGTTGGGAGTTTAAGCTTATGTCATCAGTCCGCTATCTGTGTTGATCGAGATTGACGGTTGTAGCATTCCAAGTCCATACATTTTGTTTCGTGCTTGCTTGAGTCCAAATATGCCGTGACATCAGCCTGGCATCGCAAGGCGGTATTTGCTCGTAGGCGGAGAGTGGCGTTGCCTTTGTGGTCTCAGCTCCTATAACTTGGAGGCCACTAAGCCACTAATCGCCTGCAGAGAGTCAAACATGGCTCCTCCGGCGGCTCTGTTCCGATCCTTGCAGCGTTTCTGAAGGGTGGGATCCTCGGCCGTGTCGGTGTCCCGCAAAGTTCCGCAAAGCTTGTCTAATCTGCAGTGCCCGGACTTAGATTGGAAGACGTCTCTCGGAATGCGAGAGCCTCGGATGGCTTGGCTGCAAGAACATGTCCTCTGACCAAACCGGTCAGCTCAGTGAACCTTCCAGTTTCTAATGAAAGCAACACTCATAGGTGGTGGCTGTTGATTCTGCATGCTACTGTTGTATTGTATTGTAACAAGTTTACTCTCAATTGCTTCGTGTTTCATGTCTCCTTCTAGCAAAAGCACGTTTCTGCGGAGATGGCTCTGATCAGACATCTTTTGTTCTGTTACTGACTTCTGCCCTCTCCTGCTGCTGAAATGATGCCACTCAATCGCACGACTAAGTTGCTCTCAAGTTCTCCGTGTTGCTCTCTACATCTCTGGGCAGCTTTGAGTCTCAAACGGGTGCTGCAAGGTGCTGGTTCTGCCGATCTGCGTTTGATCCCAGCACTGGTTACCGAACATCGCTGGAGCACTCTTTTGCATGAGACCTGAGACTCCAAGGGCTACACTACAATCAGCCGTGTAGCCGCCAGCATTACGACGAAGCTTCAATGGATTTTTCTGACCGTCTCCGTGCCATCCGAATGCCCTGTTGACCTCGCAATGCCTAATCTCCAAGAAGAGTGGAAGGAATGAGCAAAATTCGAAGTACACATGTTTTGCGGCAACTACCGATCTGCCTATCTTCAAGGCAACGAGTCCGCTCGGACGCTGCCGGTACAAAGATGTTGCTAGGAGACAGTGGAACAGCCGGCAAAGACGGAAGGCAAAGAGAAATTTGCAAGGAAAAGCTTCTCGCCTTCAACAAGTGCGCCCATGTAACCAGAGATGCACAGTCAGGTCACTCTCGCAAGGTCACTAAAAAGCCGCAATCCCCGGCGGCAGGTCTCGAACGTGTGACAGGTGCAAGTGTCATGAGATGAGACTCCGGGAGGGACCGAAAATCCCGGTGGGCCTAACAGATGCTCCCCGCTTGTCAAAAAAAGAAGCTCGAGCATCTCATGACATTCAGGATGAAGCGTCTCAGACACTAGGACGGGGGGACAGCAAGAGGCAGGCATCCCTCCTGCCACTCAACGATGGCAGCGTGGGAGGCATGCAGTGACTGGGGTGATGCCGCAACCAGACCCAAGAACTGTGGAGGTCCCCGAAGGTGTCTTTTGTCTACACTTTCACGCTGTGCGTTCGCCTCGGCTGTTCATTTCAACCCAGTCGCCGACATGCTCCAAGTCATGGCAGGGAAGTCTTGTCGTTGACCCAGGGCCCCAAGCCGCCCAGGCCCACGCCCCACGAGTCGCGCCTCGAGCTAACGACTCCTTTTGCAGAGTTCGAGCTTGGGATGGAGATGGAAGTAGGGCGATTGTATCACTACAGTGGAAGTGTGTCCGATATTTCTGGGCATCCTGTTGGGGAAGGTGGTGAGAGTCGCGACAAGGCTGTGGATCCGAACTGCCGCTAATACTAAGTTATAAATATGTTTTGGACGGTGTTATGTTTTGCTGGCCGCCACCCTCCCCCCTCCCCCACACCCGCAGGATGTTAGACGAGTCTGCGCCATGCCGCTTGAGTCAAGAACGCCTGGGTCCGGAAGGAAAGGGTACAAGTCCGGAATACCCCCGAGACAAGTCAGGAACAGCCCGGAGCCGAGTCGAGAACAAAAATCTACTACAAAATCAATGGTCCTTGTGTCTAACTCTTGACCATAGCAACACTTTGAACAGCAATAGTAATCAATCATGCTAATTATCACAACAGGAATGAGCGCGACATTGGCTGTTAGTGATGTCATATATTGATGAGGGTGAACGGCAGCTGGTTCGCCTGTTTCACGCGATGTGCCAGCAGGATAGGTCGCCGAGACACCGTTGTAGTGGAAACAGTGGCGGTGGTTGCATGCGCCTTATATTAGATGCTCCACGCCCCAGCTCGATAGATACTATAAGCAGTACAAGCCCCATAAACCCATAAACCCTACGCCCGAAACCTCGAATTTCTCTGGCCATCCTGGTGGCTGTCGCCATCAGCTTCTTCGTAAACACGATGTTTTTAGCATCAGCAGCAGGGTTGGTCTTCGTTTGTAAGCCCGATGCACTTGCCGTCCAGAGTCCAATGTACCGTACGGCCTGTCGTTGTCTCGTGGGCCCCGACGTTTGTCGACACTTTGATGTTGCAGCGGCCGTGCTTAACATAAACAGGTTCAGAGCACACAGTAGGATGGGATCAAGCAACACCCTTTTCAACTGGTGTGGGGTGTATGACCTTCCATCGTGCTCCTGGTGCTGCCACACAAAACTGGTTAACTGGCAAAGTTGTAAACACCATATCCAAAGTTATTAACTCTAAGCCCGTCTCCCTAAACAACACGCGATAGGCTCATATAAAGATCTCAAGCCGTGGCTTTTTTTTAACATTATTCAGCCTTGCAGACTCTTAAAGATGCAATCAGCGGTTATAAGCATCACGTTTAACCTTGTCTTTTCCGGAATCAACCTTTGTTCTGTTCCTGACTGTGCCGCCACTGCTCCCGACTCTGCCTCCTGTTGTTGCTGCCTCCTGCTCCCTCTCCGTTCCTGACTGTCTCCTGCTTGTTCTCGGCTGTTGCGGCTGACTCGCCCCCCATCCCACACCCCAAGATCCTCGCCCCCTTGTCTTTTCATCTCGCAACAATACTCCAGCTTACAGCCCATCGAACATGCTGCAAATGCCTGTGAAGGTGAAATCTGTTTTCCTCCAGAACTGCCTCTTCGCTCCTCGCACGTCGCGAGAAGTCGCTGCAAGAAAATGTTGGGTCGCAGATGTCACACACCCATACACTGTGTTCCGTTAATGCATGTTCATGCATCTATCATCTATGCTAATTAGTCTTGTTCCTATAGCTAGAGAATGCATTCTGGGCTGAACCAATGCGAGTACTATGCTAGGTGGAACAGCCTAGGAAGGGCATTGAGCTTAGTCCATTCGCACGCAACGGCGGCAAATCACGGGAGCCTCCGCCACCGCCACATTGGCTTGGCGAGCTAGGGCGCTACTCTGGACAGCTGGAGGAACAAAAGGTCCAAAAGATCTGTTGAAATGTTTTTTCTCGTTCTGTTATACGAGTGAGAAGCCTGCCACACCAGGTCGGCTGCAACCAAGACGGGAAAAGTGGAACATACCAAGAAAGGAAGACACCCAACATTCCGATTTCGGGGAGAAGCACATATAAAGGTAGCATGCCGAACTTGCTCAAAGTCTTGGTGGGCTCGAACGGAGCTGCAGGCCTGTGCGAGGCATCGTTGCCAGGCCCGGTCCGCAGCACAGTAGCTTCTTCTTTGTTGGTTCTCTTCCGGTATACAGCGTGGATGTGACGTGCATCGCCTGTTTACAGATCCTCAGAGTTCGCTCCTGCAGGTTCCAGCAGCGACAAAAAGAGAAGCTTGACTGCATGAGATGATTCTGCTGCGGGACCGTATCCTGCCAGCATGCTTGAGGATGCATGTTCCATGCGTGCCACAGGCTGAAGCAGGAGGAGTGCGACGAAAAGCCAAAGTAAAGGTCTTAGCTATGAGACTGTGCTCCAAGTTTCGCAGCGAATGTCACCGTTCGAGCTGGCTTGCATTCAAGCTTCATCTCTCACGATGCGTACGTCATGAGGTTTGTAGTTCTTGCGAAAACAATGGGGCGACTGACAAAAAGCAAGAGAATGCAGTTCCAGGATGCTCGAGGCATACTGGTCTGCGGATTCTGCGGTTGTTGCTTGCCGGTTCTGTTCCTGCCCGAGGTTGCTTTCAGTTCCGTGCAGAACCCACGTTTTCCAAAGCCGGAATGCCACCTGGCTGAATTCCACGCCAGCGTGCAACTTCGCTGTTTGGATGATGCACGTCACCGCGAGGCTGCATGTCTTCTGGGAAAGAAAGTGCGCGATCGCTTTGATGACAATTTGCGAAAAGCTCAGCTGCGGCAAGCTGCAGGGCAAGCAATGATGTTGATGTCTGTTTGCATCTCCAGAAGTCAAGAGAGGTCAATGGAGCGGGTTTGTTTTTGACAGATCCTCGAGTCCTAGACTGCGCCCTAAGCACTCTCCCGGCCCTCCCGACCTCATGGCTTTCCCGATCTCGATTTGACCGCTGCCAAGAGCTCCGACAATATCGAAGGCATCCTTGCTGACTGCTTTGCCCCTAGGCAAAAGCAAACTCAAAAGCTGAGGGAGTCCCCAGGTGTGAAGCACTAGAGAATTGAGAGCAGAGTGCGAGAGACTCCACGGAGAGAGGTGTCAACGCACAGTTTCTGTACGGAACGGAGTCATGCGGAGTGCACAGTCCGATGACCCGTCTGTCCACTTCCTTCAGCGGTACTAGCATAAGGCACGGAATTCTCGCAATCATGACCGTCATGACCGCATGGTGCCCAACATCTGCACTTCAGACAGGCCGAAGCTTGAAGTAGCAAGGGAGACGAAAACGGAGACGGAGCAAGTTTGCCGTTTTTGCAGTATTGCAAGCAAGAAATGCGGAAGAGAGGGCATTCCGGAACATTGGAGAACATCAAGGGCTCCTCTTTTCCATCCCGTACGTGTGCTGAATGCTGAACAGCATGCACAAGTGCCGAAGCCGGTGCATCCAAACAGCCTGCCGGTTTTTGGCTGTTGTGAATCAAACCGGTTGGAAGTCTGAAATGCGTTTCAAGTCGGGAGTTCTGAGGTCACGTGGAAATTCCAAAGTTGCTGAGCTTCGATGACTCCGGTATGCTGGAGAGCAACGCTGCAATCAACGCTGCCCTCGACCATGCACCGTCAAACTGGTAGCGTGCTCGTACTACCAGCAAGCAGAAACATGTGCAAAGCAAGCGACATACTCAGCACAACTAATTTTCGACAGAGGCGATACAGGTCGTGCGAAGGCTCAACCTGTCTCTCCCGCAGGCAACGGCCAGACACGAAGGGACACAAACAAACACACGGCATGAATGGTGGATTCCGAGCCGGGCAGTCGTTACAAACCACGACGTTCACCGTTTTCAGCATGCTGAAGAGGAAGGAACATGATGCTCCAGCACAGAGCCCGAGCAAAGTCCGACCGCTCGAAGCAGCCCCTGTGATCAGTGTGGAGTGCACAACAGTTGCAGTCTGATTAGTCTCATTCATAGGTAGGAGCAAGACACGAACAGTGGTCCTGCCAAACATCCCCATCCTTGCTTGGTGTCCTCCCTCGATTGTCGACAACTTAAGGTTACTCCGCATCATCAGCAAGAGCCAGCCGCATTTACGGCTCTTCGTACGCGCACAGCGCAAGGCAGGAGGAAGGTCAAGCAAGCAGGCTGGGCCTGTCGACATGCCATGACTTGCAGGTCTTTTCGGGAGACCTGGAAGGGGTAAGTCTCCTCGATGAAATCGCTCAGCAGGTGCGGCTAATGCAGCATGGTTGGAGTTGAGCTGTATTAAGCTGCATTGAGTATTTGACGTGCTGAAGTGGTCATTCCTTCGTCATGCCTTCGAGACCAAACGGTCCCTTCGCAGTCCAGCTGCTACTGCCCACGACGTAGAGCATCTTGTCCGCGACACGAGGAATGACAGCCGGTCGCTCGGATCGGCGGTTAGGCTCGTTCATCTCATTCCACCTTTCAGAGAGCCCTCGAAGCCCCGTGAAACGGGCTCGCTCCAAAAGCCGGAGTTTCTTGACAATTCTCTCATGCCCGAAAACACAAGAGAATTTCGCGACGTCGGCGACGGCTACTGCTACGCCAACAACTCCTCCTACTATTCCCATTCCTACCCTCTGACAAAGCTCTCACCACCGCTACACAAAAATCGGCTTTGGAGTGAAAATTGCGCCACTCCAAAATGGCTTGCGAACCAAAGGACAGGTTAGCTAAGAGCTTGAACCAGAATCGGTCAGCCCAGCCCCGTTTCGGGAGATTTTGCTTATGAAGCCGTGACGTGACAATGGGACCAACGAGAGTTGGAGCGCGGGGGTGCAAGCGTGGGACCTTCAGCTGCCTTCAGTTAGCTTTAAAGGGGGACACTCCAGCTTTGCACAGGCAAAACTCTCCGACAAGCAGGCCGGCGGTGATGGTGCTTGTGCCGTGCAAGCGCTTGCTTGCACTGAACTGTGCAGCGCAGACCCTGCCTTGCTTTTGTTCGGAAAGGTGGAGCTCCAGGAAGTGCCCAAAGAAGAGGCACAGCTAGCAGAAACGGAAGGAATCGTGAGTGAAGCGATGTGTTCGTGCGCGACAGTCGCATGACACTGGATGCGTGCACAGCCTGAGTTTCAGTTGCTATGTGCAGCAAAGCTTCGGCAGTGACAGGCACGCCTGGCAGAAGTCGTCATTCAAGTTTTCGACCGGTACCTGTCCAAGCGAGACATCTGGCACTTGCACCTGCGCATGCTGCAGGTAGCATCCCCAATTGAGCCTGCAGTTACCTCAGCAACCTCGCTGCATGAGCTGTAGACTGACTCTCCACAGGGTGGTGGCCAAGTCCTTTATGCCAACTTCAACCATTCGAAGCTTGTTTGCAAATCCCGGCGATGGCGAAGCATGCGAAGCTTTTCCGACTCGGACGGAGCGGGTGCAAGGCTGAAACAGCTGGTGACCAACAGCGAATTCGACCGACTGGTGTTCACGGATGGGAAGCCTGCTATCTCCGGGTTCGTCGACCGAACCACAGAGGCCCTATGCTTCGCCACCCAACCTGTCACTTGGGAGTGTTGGGACAGGTATCCTTTAAGTCCGTCACGGCCAACATGTTCGTGCTGGTGCAGATCAGCTCGGAGTTGTGGGAATATAGCAACTACGTCTTGACATATAGTGCACAGGGCACCAGATTCACGTTGGTAGACGCCAGTCAGAAGTCCTGTGGCCCACTTCATGGCGTGGGTCCGGGCCAAGGCGTGGCCGGCAGACCATATTGGGAGGCTCGCGCATGCTCTTCACATCATGTCAACAGAACCCATGACTCCCTAGACCGCTCTCACACGCGTGCAGATCAGTTCTGTTGCCATTTGCTTCTCACAGGCCTTGATCGACTGCTTCACCCAACTGGTTGAGAAATCGCTGCGGGTGACGAGAGGAAGCGGGCCCCTTGCTCGCACTGTAGCCACTAAGGCAATCAAGGATTCAACACAAACTGTGCGATCCAGGCACTATGTGCGCATGATCCTCTTCACCCGATCGAAAGGAGACCTCAGTAAGTTTAAACCAGTCATTCAGCGAGCTGAGAGGGTTGTGACTGAATCGATAGGGTGTTTCAAGTTCGCACCAAACACATGCAGGAGTTGCCAAGTCAGATGCAGAGGCCCACAAGTGTGGTCATGACAGGGTCTCGCCGCAGTCTTGTCAACAGCTCTGCATCGACACCTTCACGAGTGTTGCTTGTTCAACTTCTTTTCTGTCTCGACTGCAGGCAAACGGAGGCAGTTGGCTGCAAGTCGAGCAAGACACCTATGCATCTACCTCAGCCATGGATGACTTGTCGCCCAGAACGTCGGACCATAGGCCAGGGAATGTCACGATCAGGCGAAGCCCAAGAACAAGACCGAACCGAGGGTCTTTGCCTTGCAAGCATTCTTGTTCATCTCTGTGGGTGATTTGTTGAAGTGCATGCCACAAGTGGCAACCAGAAATGTCCAGACCAAGGACTTCTATGATGTCTTCTGGGAGGGTTGGGCACGCGTGCTCCCAGCAGGACAGGAACTTGCTGCGAGGCCCGGTTACGACTTGCTGGCCACTTGCTGTGTAGCTGACGTCACCTGTTAAGGATTCGGCAGGTTTGCATGTCTATGCACGAGGACGGCGCTGTCAACCGTCGAGTTCGAGAGTATAACAGGCGATTCCCACCTGCGAAGGAGTACCATGGCATCAACCCTGCGAACAGCACCTCTTCCAGACCGACAGGCCCCACCTCAGGGGCAGTTAGACACTCAGCCACTCTATCTGCACTGATTGCATGGTATGGCGAGGCGGCGCTGACTGGAGTGGCGAGGCTGCATTGCGTCGCAACCACCGGGTCCACTGCAAAGAATCAAAACGCCGATTCGGAATATTCCGTCGCAAGTAACGGGCAGCACTTCCAAGTCTGCAGCTCAGGTGGAGTGTCTGCAAAATGCATGACAGAGGCGTCGAAAGGCCGCAGTTCTCGACTTGTTCATGGCGAAGTCCCATCGACAGTTGCACCATACATAGTGCAGCCCCTGCAGTTCTTGAAAGTTGCAGCTGACTGCAGGGATTGCGCTGCATCCAAGCTTCAAGATGCCTTTTCGAGTCTGCTAACCGACTTGCTGCCAACAGAAGCTCAGGCTAGATTTAATTTCTTCCGACGCAGGCAACATCCTGGAGTGCCTCAATCTGGTTCTTGACCATTTCGATAGGCACTACCTGGACAGGTTCGTCGAAATTTGTCACTTACGAGCATCGCATAATATCGCTTATGCCGTAGCGATCATTTGCTCGCAATTCGAGCGAGAAACACATACAGTCAGGAGCTTTTCCTTTGAGTTCAATGAGGCATGTCAAGACATGCAGTCTTCCGAAGGACCGGATGCTGCGCTCTACCGGGCAGGCCATCATTCTGCTAACAGCAGGCGCAATCGGCGCTTGACCTGTCGAGCATCGTGTATTCCGCAACCTGTGAAGATGCCTTATACTTTCATTCCCAATGCAGCGGTCCCCAGCAGCAAACTTGTAAGTCAAACGACAGCCTGCGTTGAAAAGCAATCCTCGCAGTGAGCTATTTGCTGGGTGAAGGGAGCAAGCTTTGAACACAAACTCCGGCACAGCAAGTGTGTCCCCACGGCGGGAAAACAGGGAAAGAGGGCGGGCTGAAATTGGAATCGACATTTGCGGCATGCTAGAAAGGCATGACCATCCCTGGAACTGCAAACAGGAATTCACGACAATGCTTTCCGGCTTGCCATAGTCCTAAATTGTCTGACCTTAGTTAGAGGAGCAGTGGCAGACGCCTGTGTGTGTGTGTATGTGCAAGTGGTGCCCTTGCTGGCGCCGTGCTTCTACAAATGACGCTTCTTGTTTAGTTCCTATGATTCGAACGTGTGGTGGAGGTAACGGCCTCATCGATGCCGAAAGGCCTGCCCAATGTGTAACGACGGGGTTTGGAAGCTGCTAGTTGCTGCAGCTGCTTCAGGCGTTTGTACCAGCTCTCGCACAGTCGTTTTCGGCTGACTAAGCCAGTCATTTGTCATTTCGAGTCTCGGACGGATAGAGCAATTATTTGAGATTGCCAGATGCTGCCGTCTTGTTTACTCCAAGATCTGAGTGCGTGCGGAGGAGGCAATGTGAGTGTGTATGTGCGTGTGTGTGTGTGTGTGTTTGTTTGTGAGTGTGAGTGTGAGTGTGAGTGTGAGTGTGAGTGTGTGTGTGTGTATGTATGTATGTATGTATGTATGTATGTATGTATGTGTGTGTGTGGGGAACCCAAACTACAACGGGACATGAGCTTGAGGTCGTGAGCATGTTGCTGATATGTTGTTGCAGGGGGCCCGAGGGCTCATCATACAGCTCGGGCCAACGAAGCTCTGTATGATGCAG